TCTCTTAAATCAGATGCGCAGCCAGCAGATCCGATGCGCAGTGGATGCCAAATCTGATGCCTATAAGAACGCACCCAAAATGAGGCGTTGGCGGCCATACTTTCACGACAGATAGAGATATTAGATCGAGTTTCTAATACGACGGGTTTTGTAGATTCTAGAGTCAAATTGCCTACCATTAAGCTTCCACATTTTGACGGCAAAATCGAAGAATGGAAGCGTTTTTCTGATAGTTTTCGGTCCATTATACATGACAAGCCGCAGTTGTCGAATATCGAGAAGTTTCAATATCTAATTTCGGGTATCTCCGGCGATGCCGCGAAAATCATAGAATCAATCGAAATAACGAGTCAAAATTACGTTACTGCATGGGAATTGCTGCAGCAGCGTTACGACGATCCGAGATCGCTACGCAAAAGGCACATACAATGTCTATTTACTATGCCTGCGGTATCGAAAAAGTCTGCGAAGGCTCTGCGGGAACTAATCGATTACACTTCCAGACATTTGAGAGTATTAAAGGTACTAGGTTCTCCCACAGAGGCTTGGGACGAACTCATTATGCATATGTTAGAAGCCAAGATCGACATAAGGACTCTTCGAGCATGGGAGGAGGAAATCAAATCCAATGAAACGGTGAAGTTGGATGACATGCTAGAATTTTTGAGAAATAGATGTCAGACATTGGAACGTATCGAATCTAGAGCTGTTGACAAAACAGAAAAGTCCAACAAGGAAAATGAGCAACGTAGCAAGGTAAACCCTACGACAGGGGCGAAAAACAAAAAAACTGCTCTTACCACATCTCTCGTTCAAGGTAAGTGTCACCTTTGTAAAGGAGATCATTACTTATATTTTTGTGAGCAATTTTTAGCATTACCAGTGGTTGATCGAATCAAGGAAGTTAAACGTTTGAAGCTATGCTTAAACTGTTTGAGGGACGATCATTTCGTTAAGGCATGTAAGATGGGGCATTGTCGAGAATGCACCGCGAAACACAACACATTGTGTCATTTGCCCAAGGAGGATCGAACATCCGCCACAAAATCAGGAGAGTCGGAGCCTTTGAATAAGACAGATTCTGAGCAGCCGACCAGCAACATTTCAGTTCATCATTCGTCGAACAAATCGAATAACCGTCAGGTACTCTTGGCAACAGCCATTGTAAAAAGTGTCTGTCATAACGGTTCTGTCATATCGTTACGAGCACTTTTGGATAGTGCTAGCGAAGCCAATTTTATTACACAAGCAGCGCGCAATCGATTAGGTTTAAAACGAAACAATATTTCAGAAACCATTACGGGTTTAAATGGCGTAGAAAGTAAGATCTACACTGTTTGCGATGCACACGTCAAGTCAAGATGTTCCGAATTTGAAATCAATTCTCAATTTTTGATTATTCCTAAAATTACCAAAAACTTGCCATCCGTAGACATGAAAGATCATCGGGTTCCAATTCCGAACAATCTTGAATTGGCTGACCCCGAGTTCTTTAAAAGCGATCCGATAGACATATTAATCGGCGCAGAATATTTTTATGATTTGCTAGAGAACGGTAAAATCGAAGTTAACGACAATCGATTAATTTTGCAAAACATTAAATTTGGTTGGTTAGTGGTCGGTTCAATGCCATTCGATGCCGCAAACTTTCAAACTTACAAACAAAACGCATTAACTGTAATGACCTGTTCATTAGGGGTTACGGATTCTTTAGACAAGAGTATCGAGAATTTTTGGAAACTTAGAGAGTTACGACAATGACAAAACGCGAGAATTATCGGTAAACGAAAAACATTGCGAACAATATTTTGAACATACTACTAGTCGAGCCAATGACGGTAGGTTCATAGTTAGATTACCATTTTGCGGAAAGGATATGACTATTGGCGGCAATAGAGATATTGCTTTGAAAAGATTGTATCACTTGGAACGCAAGTTCAAGAATAACGAAACATTTCGCGAACAATATGTTAAATTCATGTCAGAATACGTCGAATTAAATCATATGTCAAGTATGAATGAGTCAGCTCAAAACTCACAACGTATAGTATATCTCCCACATCATGGAGTTTTCAAAGATAATAGTAGTAGCACTAAACTTCGCGTCGTTTTCGATGCGTCGGCAAAAAATAATCAGGGCATATCTTTAAATGATGCACTTCTTGTTGGTCCTGTTTCACAAGACAATTTAATTGATATAGTTTTGAGATTCCGATTTTACAAGATAGCTATTACGGCAGATTTGCAAAAAATGTACCGTCAAATATTAGTACATAACGACGAAAGAGACTTTCAGCGCATTTTGTGGAGATCTTCCTCCGATGAACCTGTGCAAGAATATCAGTTGAATACTGTCACATATGGACAGTCTTGTGCGTCATATTTAGCAATAAAGTGTTTGAGACAACTCGCATCTGAGAATTTAGAGCGTTATCCATTAGCCGCGCATTCATTGTTGAACGATACTTACGTAGACGATATAATTACAGGAGCAAACACGATCGAGGATGCACGCATTTTACAAACACAATTGATATCTTTATTATCCGAAAGATGTTTTAAGGCACACAAATGGTGCTCAAATGTAGAAAGAGCGTTAGAAAACGTGCCCATGAATTTACGCGAGCTCAATGCAAATTTAAATCTTAGCAATAGCGACGTCATTAGGACGTTAGGACTCGAATGGAACCCGGCTTCGGACGAGTTTCAATTCACAACGCAGTCAATAGATAATGCATCTTCGAAACGTGTCGCGCTTTCAATTGTGAGCAAAATATTTGATCCGTTAGGATTAATTGGTCCCGTTTTGACCATCGCAAAAATTTTAATGCAGGGATTGTGGGAATTAAAAATAGATTGGGACGACCCCCTTCCTGAAGCGTTTTTAAACAAATGGAAAGATTTTCAACGTAATTTGAAAAATGTAAATTTGATACGTATTCCACGCGTAGTTGTCGACTTATCGAAATCAGGTCGAATTTTTATACATGGATTTTGTGATGCGTCCGAAAACGCATGCATTTACGTACAGTGGAAAGACGATAATTCTACTCAAACATTTGTTAGTTTATTATGTTCTAAGGTAAAGGTTGCTCCCCTGAAAAGGCAATCTATACCGCGATTAGAGTTATGTAGTGCTTTGTTGCTAGCCAGATTAATTGTCAACGTGAAACAAGCCATTCAGATCAATGTGGATGGGATATATGCCTGGTCTGATTCCATGGTTGCATTATATTGGATACGTGGAGATACATCGCGATGGAAACCTTTCGTTTCAAATCGTGTAACCGAGATCATCAGCTACTTGCATGCCAGTCATTGGGGACATGTGAAGAGTTCCGAGAACCCAGCTGATTTACTATCAAGAGGCGCTACACCTGCGAAATTAAAGGACAATCAATTATGGTGGCACGGACCAAAATGGTTATCAGAACCACTGCCAGCAAATAGCAAACAATTTCCTCCAGAGGTTTCTGAGGATGACATTGCTAATGTAGAAACTGAAACAAAGGTCAAGGCTCGTCTCTGCCATTTGCATACACAACAATCGTTCCAGAATGAATCAATTCACAAGCTCATTCAAGACTGCTCAACAATGACAAAGATCGAGCGATCACTTGCTTATTGCCTTCGTTTTATCGGTAATTGTCGCAAGAAAGTAGGCGATAGATTACAAACTAAATTGACTTTACAAGAGATAGGGGAAGTCCGACAAATGATAATCAAGTATACCCAAAATCTTCATTTTCGCGAAGAACTGCAAAATTTGCAAGGTAAAGGCCAAATGAAAGCCTCAAATAAGTTATATCAATTGCACGCATTTCTGGATGAAAACGGTATTATACGAGTGGGTGGACGTCTGCAAGAAGCTCCTTGGACTTTCGAAAGAAAGCATCCTATTTTGTTGCCTGCAAAATGCAAGGTTACTCGCTTAATTGTAGAAAGAACACATCGCACGTTGCTGCACGCCAGTCAGCAACTATTGTTAGCGTCAATACGACAACAATATTGGCCATTGAATGCGAAGAATATAGTTCGTCAAGTTTGTCGTTCATGTATTTGGTGTGTCAGGAATAATCCTAAAGGTCTTACGCAAGCTATGGGATCTCTGCCCAGTGATAGAATCAAGCCTTCACGTGCATTTCTTGTTACCGGAATCGATTACGCCGGCCCAATCATTACTTTACTCAACAAAGGCCGAGGTAGGAAAACATGCAAGTCCTACATTGCTTTATTTGTTTGTTTCCCCACAAAGGCAATACATCTAGAATTGGTGAGTGAACTGTCGACTGCAGCATTCATAGCGACTCTGCGCAGATTTATTGGACGTCGCGGAGTACCACGCAAGATTTGTAGTGATAACGCCACGAATTTCGTCGGTGCTAAACGAGAGCTAGAAGAAATTTACTCCTTCGTTCGTTCAGCTGTCAAGGATTCAATTGACAATGTATTAATAGAGATGGGCATAGAGTGGAGTTTTATTCCGCCGTACTCTCCACACTTAGGAGGTCTATGGGAAGCAGGAGTTAAAGCATGCAAATATCATCTAAAACGAGTGATGGGCAACACTCTACTCACTTTCGAGGAGTTATACACTGTTTTAGTACAGATTGAGGCCTGCCTAAATTCCAGGCCACTGTCTCCATTATCATCAAATCCTTTAGATCTGCAACCATTGACTCCAGGTCATTTCCTCACAGGCGCACCATTAACGAGCTTACCAGAAGTCGATTTGTCAAGCATTCAAATCAACCGTCTCGATCGATGGCAATTAATACAACGCACTATCCAGGATTTCTTGGAAACGGTGGGCGGCTGAGTATATAGCCAATTTTCAAGGACGAGTCAAGTGGAAAACACGACAAGAAGATCTCAAAAAAGATGATCTCGTAGTATTACATGATGACAATCTCCCTCCCCTTAAGTGGCGAATGGGACGAGTGAGTGACACTCATGCTGGCAAAGATGGTTTGGTGAGAGTGGTCACTGTCCGCACTGCTAACGGCCCAGTCAAGAGATCAATAGTCAA